TGGTCATTTACTTTCACACTAGAGGCTCGAAGCTGGTCGATGTGACGTCGCCAAATTCGATTTGGACCAACTTTTATCTCGTATGAAAGGGGTCCCGTTTGAGCTCGAACTAGACCTGGTAGCCACTTGTCTTTCCCACTGTAATTACGTGCCATGACAGTCTGACCAATGGATAACTGACGTGTGGGGGAATGTCCTTTCCTCCCTGCTTGATCGATTTGCCTGTTCATCACTTTCATTTGTAAATCAGGTTTCACCAAATCGAGGCGAGTCCGTAGCGGTCTGCCCAAAAACAACACGGACGGTGATTCTCCAGTCGTCGAATGTGGTGTATTCCGGTAAGCCAAAAGGAACTTTGCCATATTGGTTTTCAGCTGGGATGTACTTTGTTTCTCACATTTCATAGCATGTTTGAAACTCTGAACAAAACGTTCCGCTTGACCGTTGGTTGCAGGGTGGTATGGGGCCGTGGTAATATGCTTGATACCATTAGTCTTCAAAAATAGTTGGAACTCTGCGGATGTAAATTGTGGCCCATTGTCGGTCACCACCTGTGCTGGCACTCCATATCGGGCAAAATGGTCTGCGTCGATGTGGTGGATGGCATTATTTCCACTTCAGGCCACTTCGAGTGTGCATCTACAATGATAAGGAACATTTGTCCAAGGAACGGTCCAGCAAAGTCTAAATGGATTCTCTGCCAAGGTGTGGTTGGCCATTCCCAGGGGTGTAGTGGTACTTTGCCAGCTTCATTCTGTTGAAGTTGACAACCAGGGCAGCTCTTGGCTAGGTGCTCAATGTCCTTATCAATTTTGGGCCACCAGATGTAACTTCGCGCCAGTGACTTCATTTTAACAATACCGAGGTGACCTTCGTGGAGCTCGGTTAACACTTGATTACGCAACTTGGCAGGAATGACTGCTCTGTGTCCAAGCATTAGAACACCAACGGTTTAAAACGGTTTAATCGCTTCATCTTTTGGAGTGGACCATCCTTTCATAACCAACTCATGGACCTTCACCAATAGAGGATCTCTCTGTGTTTCTCGTTTAACCTGTTCTGCTGTGACTGGCAAGGGCTCAAACTGCGTAGCATAGAAGAGGCCCACTGGATCTGGCTCTTCTTCTGTTGTCTCACTATGCAAGGGTAATCGAGACAGACCATCCGCATTTCCGTGTAACTTAGTGTTCTTGTATCTGATTGTATAATCAAAACCCGCCAAGAACAAAGCGTAGCGTTGTAATCTAGCAGCAGTGACAACAGGAAGGCTTTTGCTGGGATGAAAGATTGAAGTGAGAGGCTCATGATCAGTCAGTAAGGTAAAGTTCCTACCGAAAAGGTAATTGTGGAATTTCTTGACTCCCCACACTGTAGCTAGTGCTTCTTTATCTATCTGTGCGTAGTTGCGCTCCGCCTTCGACAGGGATCTCGATGCAAACGCTATCGGGCGCTCTGTGCCGTCTGTCATAACATGGGACAGTACCGCTCCAATTCCTACAGGTGAAGCATCACAAGCCAGTTGTAAGGGAAGGTTAGGATCATAATGTGTAAGCACCAGATCTGAAACAATCATTGCTTTAACTTTGCAAAAAGCTTCTTCGCATTGATCTGTCCAGTTCCATTGGTAGTTACTTTCCAGCATTTGGTTCAATGGATGCAGTATTGTAGCAAGGTTTGGCAGGAATTTGTGGTAATAATTCACCAATCCCAGGAAGGAGCGTACCTCTGCAACACTCTGGGGGCGAGGGGCATTCACCATTGCAGCTGTCTTGTCGGTGGTCTTGTGCAGGCCTTCGCTATTAATGTCGTGTCCACAGAACGTGATCTTTTCTTTGAAGAACTCACACTTCGATTTATTGGCCCTTAACCCATGGTGGTGCAGCCGTCGAAGAACCTCCTCCAGGTTAGCCATATGCTCTGCGTCGCTTTTACCCGTCACAATCATATCATCTAGGATACAACTAATACCAGAAGTTCCTTCCAGAATCTGATCCATGGTACGCTGCCAAATGGCGGGAGCCGAGGTAATACCAAACACCAATCAATTGTATTGAAACAAGCCCATGGACGTATTAATTGTAAGGTACTTCTTGGATTCTTCCTCCAACTCAATCTGATGGTAAGCTTGGCGGAGGTCAATCTTGGAAAACTTTTTCCCACCAGCTAAATGGGCAAAAATATCTTCGATTCGAGGCAGAGGATACTGTTCTGCTTGTAATGTTGGGTTAATAGTACCTTTGAAATCCCCACAAATACGGACTGAACCATCTTGTTTCGGCACTGGTACAATCGGTGTCGCCCAATCACTCCACTCTACTTTCGACAAAATACCTTCGCTCTGAAGTCTCTTCAGTTCGTCCTCCACTTTCGGTCGTAAGGAATATGGGACCTGACGAGCTTTGCGAAACTGCGGTTGACTACCTTCTTTGAGGGTTATCCTTGCTTTGGCAGACTTGAAAGTTCCCAGCTTGTCTTCAAAAACCTCTGCATACGTATCCAATAGGTTTTTCAGCTTCTCTTGTGTAGTCGTGCCAGGGTTTCTATGGCTGGGATCTGAGGATTTCAACAACTTGATGGTTTTCGAGTCGAGGCGAAGCTTGTGAAGCCAATCTCGACCCATTAACACTGGATCCTTAGTCTGGACTACATGGAGTGGCAATAGACATGATTGATCTAAGTATTCAACTTGCATGGTAAGGCAACCAACTGGAACGATCAGTTCACCAGTATAGGTCTTTAGTACGGTGGTTGTTTTCTCTAACTTCTTGTCGCGAAATCTTTCCAAGAACATGTCATATGGCAAAATGGACACGGCCGATCCTGTGTCTAGTTCCATGGATAGTGGTTGATTTTCAACTTTCACGTCAACCCATATGACGTCACTGCTTGATTTGTTTACATTATGAACTTCTAGGTTATTCAACAATTGCCCATACTCATCTGGTTCGCTCTCAATGGCATGGGTCGATTTCTGGTATCTTAATCTGGGCGAGGGTCGACCGGGCCCCTGGGTTTGTTGTGCCCGGCAAGCTCTTTGAATATGACCTCTCTTTCCACACTTGTGACAGACTTCTTTCCTAAATCGACACTCAGTTGCAACATGGGTATTAGCTCCACATCGATAACACACTACAGGAGAAGGTGGGCCACTATCTGATCTATTCGAGGGTCTGTTCAGTGTCAGTTTGTCAAAACCAAGGTGTTTTTCTTCTCTACACTGGCTGTGGATCTCTGTAGCATCTCGAGTGGCTGTTTCCATAGCAACTGCTATGTCAACAGCTTTGGTGAATTTTAATTTCGACTCTGCAAGGAGACGTTTCTGAATTTGCTGATTACTTAATCCACACACCAATCTGTCGCGCAAGGTTTCTTCCAAGTTACTTCCAAAATTGCAATGTGTGGTTAATTTCTTTAACTCAGCTATATAACTTAAAATGCTCTCCCCTTCTTGCTGATTTCTCTTATAAAAACGAAACCGTTCGGCTATTTCTAGTGGTTTAGGATTTAAATGCTTCTGTAATGTACTTACTATTTCATCAAAGTTCTTGTCTGCAGGCTTTTCTGGCAAAAGTAAATCCTTTAATAATGAATACGTTTTGCTTCCAATCAAACTCAGCAGAGTTGGCACTTGATGATCGTCGTCGACATCGTTTGCTGCGAAGTGCGGGAGACGTATTTAATTTCGCTAAGGTCACCTTTGTTGGATTTTAAATTTTGCAAAGCTTTCTTTAACTCCTTTACAGTATATTCTTTATATTTAGTAACCATGTTTTGCCAGGTACCGTTACGTTATGTCCAAAGTTATCAGCAAAGTAGTTATATATAACGTCGTTCAAAAGCTCGATCTTTGAGTTCACGTCTCGCATTCTGATTGGATCATCTAACTGGAGCGCACATTTAAAATAATCATTACCGTTTGCCACCCAGAGTCATTTTTCGGTAAATTTATGCCTTGTTTCAGTTCGGGAAAACTTTCGTCATTAGTCATATCAATGTCGTTAATAGAATTGTCATTTTCAGGGGTATCTGCAGTGTTATCCGTCGTTATTTCAAGATCAGCAGACAGCTCGTCGTTAAAGCCATGTATCACTTGACAACTACGCTGATGCATTTTAAGGCCACGCGCACCTCTGCATATCTTGCCACAACAACACTTAACAACAGTGCGGCTTGGTACAGGAACATTAGGTGACTGCATAACAGGCACATCTCTCGATGTAATATTAGGGCGGTCTTGCTCAGCGTGATTAATCCGTTGTTCACATCGCCACGAATGGCGACCAAGCGAGACGAAGTCTTGTCCACAATACGAACAAGCGACACAAATCGATAACATAGCAATAATGCTTGAACGAATCATAATGAAAATCTTTTTGTGATGAACAATATTAAGAATTATTAAGAAATACTGTGATTCAAATACGAAATCAGCGATGAAACTATTGACATGTACAGAGCACGTATAAACGTGTCTCTGCTCGATGTAATAATAATAATAATAATAATAATAATAATAATAATAATAATAATAATAATAATAATAATAATAATAATAATAATAATAAACAAACTTAGTAAAATCCTTAGTAAAAAAACTGCCTGCTAAGAAAGGTACGAAGATACTTAATTTTACAACGCTGTCGTCAAACCAGTTATGATGTACGGTAGTTCTATTTGGAGTTGCTGCTCGCGAAATGATCTGCTAATTAGAATTTTTAAATACAAGAAAGAGCACCTCGGGTAATTTTAGGAAATGACACTTCCTCCAGGTCAATGGCCAATTTTAATAAACTGAACTGGATATCATTTTATGACGAAGTTAAAATTAACAAATGTACCCTTGTTAGTTTACAAGAGCCTGCATGATCAAGCTCCGCAGTATATTAAGAACTAAAACAAACAATGAAACAAGTAAATGGTAGACAAACTCGTCATGGCGAATATAATTTAGTAAAATCTTTAATGGTCAGTGTTGAGAAGCATATTATTAATGTTTAGTTTTGTTAATTTATGACATAATTAACTAGTAACGCAGTTTCCGGCCGAGAGAAAAGACTGGGTCGACAGCATGCTCTCGAGGTCTCTAGGCTCGAACAAGAAAAACTGATAGATAATCATTCGAAGATGTACACTTTTATAGCTTTTTTGGTAAAATATATTGTTCTTTATTCATAATCGGAGAGACTAGTTAACATTTGGCGATCCTGCCAGGACGTGGCAACCGAAAGAACCGTTTTTATAGCAGATATTTAGTATGGCAACCGAAGAAAATGACGAAATCGAAGTTGATATGAGTGCTGAGAACAATATTACCGGTATCAACAGTGATAATGTGGTCGAAAGCGAACAACAAAGTCAGTCTTATTCATCGAAACAACATGCAGAGATGCTGTTGAAGTTAAGAAGGGAGAAAACAAAAGAACCCGTAAAACGAAGGTAACTAAGCTTAAACATCAATTACAAAAATTATGCAGTATAAAGGACGGAAATGTAGACACTGCTCAAATCGAAAATTGCGTAAGTGAATTGTGGGAAATTTTAGAGGAAACACAGCTTGTAATGGACGAAATGAGTAGCTTGTATTTACAGATGAATGATATGAAACTGCACAAAGAAATTATGCAAGAATCAGATAACTTAGAGCTGGAAATACAGCAGACTATAGACAGTGCACAAAATATGTTAGTTGCCTCACCCCAAGTATTAGAAAAAGACAACCCAGTCGACACCGAACCAGTTTTGCTCACAGGGGGGAAATGATTTATCGACCGAATCGAATAACAATTTGCAAACAGAAGTACAAACCCCTAGTTCCCAGGCCCCAAATCCACCTGGTACCCAGACTACAACCCTTCCTTATCAGAGCCCTAGTTATCAGACCCCAATTCCACCTGGTACCCAGACTACAACCCTTCCATATCAGAGCCCTAGTTCCCAAACCCCAATTCCACCTGGTACCCAGACTACGACCCTTCCATATCAGAGCCCTAGTTCCCAAACTTCAATTCCACCTGGTACCCAGACTACGACCCTTCCATGTCAGAGCCCTAGTTACCAGACCCCAATTCCACCTGGTACCCAGACTACGACCCTTCCTTACCCAATTTCACCCCCAAATGCAAGGGGGTAATTCAGCAATTAATCGTCACCTTAAAGCTTTGCGCGTTCCTGTTTTTGATGGTACCAAGGCCAAATTTGAAGAATTTTGGAGCTTGTTTCTGAGTTTAGTAGATGCTTCAAATGAACCCATCAATCTCAAAATGGCAAGATTACAGCAAAGTTTAACCGGCCGAGCCCATGATGCAATTCGAGGTTTAGGGGTATCAGAACCCGAATACACAGAAGCGAAAGAAATTCTTAAGACAAAGTTTGGTGGGCAACGTCGGCAACTAAGAGCTTATATGGATGAGTTAGACAGTATACCAGCACTGCGTTATAATGATGTGGACAATTTTGAAAGGTTTGCTGATTTAGTGAGAGTGGCGGTTGTGAAGCTGAAAGCAGAAAACCGACAAGCAGAGCTTGGAGAGGGAACATTGCACAATCAACTCGTACGGAAGTTACATGATCGACATTTAGAGTGTTACAGTCGTTGGTTAAACGTTCATAACAAAGAACCAGCAGTTACTAGTTTGTGTGACTGGTTAAAAGAAGAAGTGGCAATCAAGATTGAAGCGAAAGAAATGGCTCATGGGTTGGATGAGAAACTGTTACCTGAGCGACGACTCCCGAGAGGAAAACCTGATGAAGGTCGCCCAAGGTCATACTTTACTGGAAAAGAAGTGGACGACCGCTTTCAAAACCGTATAGAAAAACGAGAAGAGAGAACCAAGCCACCCTGCGTTTTCTGTGGTCAGGGTAACCATGGGATATGGAATTGCAACCAATTTAAACAGAAAACAGTCGGAGAACGGTGGAAAGTTGCAAAAGAAAAGTATCTGTGTTTTCGTTGTTTATCCAATGAGCATCGTGGAAAGGATTGTAGACGGACTCGCCCATGTGATGTTGATGGATGTCAGCTCACTCATCACCGACTACTTCATGACACCGCCCAAAGCAGGAAACCAGGTCCTGTACTTCCAGACGAGAGGGCGGATCCTTCACGGGAGGGGGCAGAGAGTTTGACAAATCTTACTATGACATCGAACCGGTCCAAATTGCAACCAGAGGCAACCTCATTGAGAACAGTTCCAGTTTGGGTAAAAGCTAATGGAAAAAAGGTGAAAGTGAATGCAGTGTTAGATGATGCCTCAAATGAATCTTTCATGAATGAAGAAGTTGCTGGCCTCCTTGGATTGAGAACTACTTGGCAAACTGTACAAGTACGAGTGTTAAACGATTCTGTGGAAACCTTCAGGTCAATGCCGCTGCAGATCGATTTAGAGAGTGATGATCGCCAGTTCACTAAAACCATAAATGTTCAAACCTGTCCTAGAGCAGTTACAGGGAGCTATCAAGTGGTGGATTGGAATCAATATCAGTCAAACTGGCCGCATCTTTCCCAATGCAATTTTGCTACGCCAGCTAAAGATGGGTTTGCTGATTTACTGATTGGTGTGGACAACCCTGATCTGCACTTCTCCATTGTTGATTTCCAAGGCCCCTCGGGAGGGCCAGTAGCTCGTCTCGGCCCGCTCGGTTGGACATGTATTGGGTCCGCTGCTAAAGATACCAACAACCATTCAAGATCCCATCTGGCGAGAACACTGCATACCAAAACGGCAGATCCGGAGAACAGATTGACAGAGTGTTGTAACCTTGATCGTACAATGCGTAACTTCTGGGAAATCGAAAGTACTGGTACCGACAAAGTTTGTGCAAAAGTTATGACCGAAGATGAGAAATTAGCCCTTGGAAAGGTCGAGAGCTCGTTGCAAACAGTGGATGAGAGATACCAAGTTGGTGTACCTTGGCGAAGTGATCGACCAGAGTTGCCGAACAACCGTCAGATGGCACAATCTCGCCTGGTCTCCACCGAAAGAAATCTGCGAAAGAATCCCATTGTGGCTAGCGAATATCAGAAAACCATTGAGGCTTATGTACAGAAAGGATATCTCCGGAAAGTTGATCCTGATAAGAAAGAAGCCCCGGGATTATGGTATCTACCCCATTTCCCTGTTATAAGAATGGATAAGTCCTCAACTAAAGTCCGAATTGTATTTGACTGTTCCGCGAAATGTGAAGGAATCTCGCTGAATGACGTCATCCACCCCGGTCCGAAGCTGCAGAAAGATCTTTTTGATGTCTTGCTACGATTTAGGCGGAACCCAATAGCCCTTGTTTGCGACATCCGGGAGATGTATCTTCAAATAAGCATTGATGAGAAGGATCGTCCATACTTCCGCATGTTGTGGAGAAACCTTGACACCGACAGCGAAGCGGATGAGTATGAATTTAGTAGAGTGGTGTTCGGAAAGAACTCGGCACCAATGGAAGCCCAATTCGTAGCCCAAGAGAATGCTCGACGTAATCAACACCTTTACCCTTTAGCAGCAGAGACTGTTCTGGAATCCACTTATATGGATGATTCCATAGACAGCGTTGAAGACGAACAGTCTGGTATCAAGTTGTACCATGAGTTAAGAGAGTTGTGGGCCAAAGCGAAGATGGAGGCTAGAAAATGGATTTCCAATTCACCAGAAGTCCTTGCAGAAATCCCGGTAGAAGATCAAGCGAGCGAAATTGTCATTAATGATGGTCAGAATCCAACTACGAAGACCCTAGGAATTGCCTGGGATAGCAAGAATGACGAATTCCGAATGTCAACATGCGAAGCATCGCGACTGCAACTTACAAAGAGAAATATCTTGCGAAAGATCGCTACAATCTTCGATCCCCTTGGCTTCGTTAGCCCCTTCATAGTTGTTGCTAAGATCTTGCTCCAAGAACTTTGGGCACGAGGCTACGAGTGGGACGATGAAATCAAAGATGAAATCGCTCAGAGAATCGCAAAGTGGTTTGACCAATTGGAGCAGTTGAGTGTTGTGAAGGTTCCGAGATGCCTTCGAGCGGCGAAGCCAGTGGTTTCAACGAGAATTATCACCTTCGTCGATGCTTCAAAGGAAGCATATGGTTGTGCGGTGTATATTCGACACGAGTATGAGGATAATGAAGTGACTTGCCGGTTAATCACATCAAAGTCGAAAGTGGCACCACTCACCCCAGTGACAATACCTAAGTTGGAGCTAATGGGCGCTGTTCTAGGATTGCGGGTAACACAGTCCGTAATTGCTGTATTACACCTACCAATGCAAGATGTCATCTTCTACTCGGATAGCATTGACGTTTTATGGTGGATACGTGGTCGTGGCAAAGATTTTCGTCCTTTCGTGGCAAATCGGGTCGGGGAGGTACAAAGTGGTTCCGATCCATCGCAATGGCAGCACGTGTCTACAAACGAAAATCCAGCTGATTTGTGTACCAGAGGAACAAGCCCGTTGGAACTAGCCAAACATCCATTGTGGTGGGAAGGACCAGAGTGGATAAAAACATGTGAAGATCAATGGCCGAGAATGAAATTTGAGAAACGTCCAGCCAAGCTTCCGGAGAGCAGAATTAGCCCGAGTCAAGGTGAGAACGACCGAGTTGTGTTGGCAACGAATGCACAAGAGAAGGAAGATAACAGCCGAAAGTTAGAAGACGAAGAATGGAGACTTGATCCAAAGAGATTTTCAAGTTGGTCGTGGTACATTAGAGTGCTTGCTCGAGTGAGAAGAGCACTTTACAACATGCGAAACGGTGATCAAAGAAGAACGGACTCAGAGCTTACAATTGATGAACTCCAAGAAGCGGAAGGAAGCGATTCGTTTGGCTCAACAAGAAGGTTTTCGTGGTGATTACGACACCGTCAAGAGTGGCAAACCGGTGCCACAAACCAGTCCGCTTGTCAAGTTAAATCCTACCATTGATGAAGCCGGTTTAATTCGCTCAGATGGACGCCTTAAATTCGCAGAACAGCTACCGTACGACGTACGCCATCCAGTCATACTTCCGAGAAGACACTGGATCACAAGGCTGATTGTTAAGGATTATCACGAGAAAGCTAACCACAACGCCGGAGTGAATTTCATCCTAAGTCAAATTAACGAGAAATATTGGATCATTGCAGCGAGGGAGGAGATACGTGAATGGGAGAATCAATGTAACCACTGCAAAAGACGACGCAGCAAGCCAGCTATCCAAATAATGGCACCTTTACCGAAAGTTAGATTACGTTTCACGTACCGTGCATTCGATCAGTGTGGTATCGACTTCGCTGGGCCGTTCGTTACCATCCAAGGACGCGGACGTAAGCGACAGAAAAGATGGTTATGCGTATTCACATGCTTATCCGTTCGGGCTGTGCACCTAGAAATGGCGTGGAGCTTGGACACTGATGCATTTCTAAATGCATTTGCGCGGTTTACCAGTCGGAGAGGCGTCCCGAAGGAAGTCGTCACCGACAATGGCACCAATTTTGTCGGCGCTGTGAACGAGTTAAAGGAGCTAATGAGTCAACTGGATCAGGAACGGATCAAACGGAAAACGTCAGCGCAAGGAGTGAGATGGTTATTCAACCCACCAGCTGGTCCACACTTTGGTGGGGCACACGAGATCCTAGTGAAAGCTGCCAAGAAGGCGATTTATTCAGTGTTGGGCAGTAGCGACGTCAACGACGAAGAGTTAATTACCATCTTTACTGAGGCTGAAGGATTGTTGAATTCAAGACCGTTGTCATACCAATCTGCGGACGTACGCGACATAATTCCTTTGACCCCAAACCATTTTTTGCTTGGTCAAATGGGCGGACAGTTCGCGCCAGAATCAGAGCTTAGTAAAGAATGTCATCCTCGACAGCGCTGGAGAAAGGTACAGCATTTGGTTTCTTTGGTGTGGCGGAGATGGCTCAAGGAATGTTTACCATTGTTGACGGTAAGACCGAAGTGGTCGGAAATAGTCAAAGATTTAAATGTGGGTGATGTGGTCTTGGTCATGCAACAAGGTTTATCGCGGGGAGATTGGCCGCTAGGACGGATCATTGATGTTTATCCCGGGAAGGACGGACATACAAGAGTCACGAAAGTACAATGTGGCCAAAAGACATATATTAGGCCCATACACAAACTAATTCCGTTGGACGTGTAATATCGGACAGTTAATATTTTGACATTTAATTAAAGTTGGACATTGTTTGTTCACACTGTTGTATTAGACTTCAGTGTGGAGAGGGGGAATGTTGAGAAGCATATTATTAATGTTTAGTTTTGTTAATTTATGACATAATTAACTAGTAACGCAGTTTCCGGCCGAGAGAAAAGACTGGGTCGAGAGCATGCTCTCGAGGTCTCTAGGCTCGAGAGCATGCTCTCGAGGTCTCTAGGCTCGAACAAGAAAAACTGATAGATAATCATTTCGAAGATGTACACTTTTATAGCTTTTTTGGTAAAATATATTGTTCTTTATTCATAATCGGAGAGACTAGTTAACATGCTTTAAAAAAAATTAAACCAGTTTAAACAATTTGTTTGTTATCCTAAAGCAATGGCAACATCAAAAATTTATAGTAAAAGGCCTGCTTTGGGTGAAAATTATCGATATTTTTTTAGGTTATTTTCAGACGATCCTGGCAAAAATTATGTGGACACTTAGCTTTTCTAACGCCAAGTCGCCAATATTAACATTGAGACATTCTTTCATGAAATTTGTCACCCCCTTACCCCTATTCAATGCTGTGTTTCTCGCATTTAAATTTTAAAAGTTTCATTTTACCAACATTGAATTGGGGGTAAGAGGGGGAGAAATTTTCTGGGGATTAATTCTGTAGAAACACATCTATTTTTGTTTGATGCACCCAGTGTCCACAATAATTTTTGCCAGGATTGTATGTTCAAGAACTTGTTAGACATTTTCATGGATGTAAGTTCAAAATCAACAAGATCTTTCAAGTTAATCAATCCATCTTTTCCAAAGATGAAAGAAGTTATCTCATTTTTTAACTGATCAGCTACTCCTACTTTATGTTGCAGATACCTTCTGACATTTTGCTCTAGGTGGTGTTGACACAGAAGCAGAGTGGCATTCGGCAAACTTTGTTGCACTGCTTTCATGATGGCCTTTCCTCGTCTCAGCCAATAATTTCTTTTGGCATATACGCACAAAAGTTGACGCCAATTTTAACACAGACTAACCTCTGTGTTGAAATTGGCGTCAACTTTTGTGTGTATATGCCAAAAGAAACATTGATAAGTTTGACATATACCATCCCAGTACAGGAACAAAGGACCCAGCATTATTGGTGATAACGTGGTAAGTAACTATTTAAAAAAACAATCAGAGTTACAAAAAACGCTGCTCCAAATTAAAAGTATGATCCACTCCAAGTATGGAAGTGTTCTTAGAAGTGAAAGAAAACTTCTTGATATCCTAATTGGTCGTCAGTCGTCTGTGTATGAAATAACCATCGGTGGATTCCCCTTTGTGTGACGTTTCTGAAGAACAACATATAGATGTAAAAACAAATGTAACCAAAAAACATAATGCCATTTACATGTTTACTTGTAAAAATTGCCAAACAAGTACATTGGACAAACGTCTAAGAAAATTCAGATAAGATTAACTGAAGATCAAAACACCATTAACAGACATGACCATAATTCGCTCCCAGTCAAGCACGCAGACGATAACAGACACAAATTTGACTGGTCTGAAATAAGATGCCTAGGACAAGCAACTATGAAACATGCCTGTGAGTTTAAGGAAGCGTGGCATAGTATAGATAAACTAAAATTTAACCGTTGTATTGACATTCCTGTAGTATACTTACAACTGAAACACTTACACAAAAATCCTGTTTCGTCTTTATTAACCTTTAACCCACCCACAACTTCCTTCTGAATATCAACTTATGATGATTGTAATCACCCACACTCCATGGCAACCAATAACAATCCATCAACTGAAATCTGTCAACCAATCAGACGTTCCCAAAGGCTTCAAGAACGAGGAACAGCACAAAAATTACAACTTTTTCATGGAGGCTCAAAGTACCGAGTTGAAAGCTCAAAACATTTTAATTACAATCCAGAGAACAACAAAAGTACTCCTCCTTCATTCAGTATAACTTAAAAATTAAAAGAGCCATTACACTTAAACAAAAAGCATTAAGTTCAGTAATGTCTAACTCAAATTTTGGTATATGCCATGTGTATTTTAACATAGTTTTGACCGATAATGTGATTTCTGTGTCACACTCTGTGAGTGAGCTTTTAGAATACAGGCATTGGTCTTTTGTAATACTAGCTAACTACCCTTACCAAAGCAAAAGTATGGGAAAGATATGGCAAAGTTTGGGCCATATATGACCCATATGTGGGCATGATATGGGACAGTATAGATATCATGTGGGATTGGTATGGTGTCTAAATTTGTTAAATATTGAGATATGGAAAAGCTATGGAAACAAACACATTGCTATTAATGCTATGGGAAATCTGTGGGGTTACTTGTCCATAGGTAATCCATATCAATGGCATGCTTTTACATATAACCAATTCTATGGGAATTATATGGTAGTCCACACTTGGTTGTCCCATTTACTTGCCATACCTATGTAGGCCGTAGGATGAGCATCCAAAAGATGCTTAGAAGACGGATTCCATTGCACCCCTCGTGGAACTACGTAATTTTCACATGAATAAATAAAAACTTACTTTATCAGAATCTGTTGCTCCCCAAGGCGAAACAGGTGCACAATTGGGAGAAAAATCCCTCCAAAGTTTGATATTTTCGCGCTTCGAAATATCCGAACCGCCATTGTTTTGATAGCAAATACGCATGCGCAACTCAGCCAAACTCGCACTGCGCACAACCAACGCACATGCTTCGAAGTGGAAACACGCTCAGTTATGCAAATAAACATGGCTGAAGATATTTATAAAACTCAAACATCCTCATGTTTTATGCATTTTGATGGCGTTACGGAGCAACTTTGCAAAGTTACACGCCAAAGGCTTAAGAAATTTCTTGAGTGTAGGTCAAAATGGGCCAAACTTAAATGTCAACAAGCTGAAATAGCTAAGAAATCGTACGAGAACATCGATGACGGATCTGTCAATTCATACATCGAGAAGAACTCTGACACCATTAACTTAGAATGGAACCATCATATGAAATGCTAGAAGAGATTTTGTGATGAACCGAAGATCCGTAGATAACAGAGAAAAGAAAAAGGAGAAGGAACTAGCTCTAAAACTATAACTTCTACCGAAGAATCACACGTGGAAGTGGAGGCAATAGAACCAAGGCGAAAAATTACACGTCAATCAGTCGCAGAAGCTATAAATATGAAGGCCCTGCCTAAAAGAAACGCGCATGTACTCCCAGAGATATGTATTATTTGTGGAAGAGGTTCTCGTGGTTCTCACTAGACAAGGTATGGTCATTTTGATAGGTATAATACTAGCGCAATGTGCACAACATTCTCAGGTTTGGTTTTAAAACATATGGGTAAAGTAGTTTCTATGCTACAAACATCCAACCTTGTTATTAGCAGATATTTAGTTTAATAATTTATTTTGTTTCACACCAGGTAACTAAGAAGAGAAGAAGAACCCCACTCATGTTGGCAAAAACAATTGATGCTGGTCTTCTACGTACAGCTGCCGAGAGAAAGAATGATCAACAGATACTCGTGCAAATCCAGGGGAAAGACTGTGTAGCTCTGGAAATCCGCTATCACAAAGTTTGCTACTGCAATTATACAATATTTCTCACCAGAGAGACGAAGAAACAACGAGAGCATCAGTGTACGAGAAGTCTTATGATGTATTCTGTAAGAAAGTAATTGAGATGGAGGTCATCGGAAATAAGCAAATAAAGTATATGAAAGATTTGCTGGAGAAATTTGTTATCATTGCTAAGGACACTGAGAATGTGGATGCATCTAAATATAGAGCTTTTAAACTCAAGCAACGACTGATGAAAAGTTATCCCCAACTTGTGTTCTGTGTACCGAAAATGAGAAATGTTAGTGAGATTGTATATGTGGAAAATTTGGATTCTTCTGAATTGGTTGAGGAACATATGTCAATTAATGGCCTGTTTATATGGAAGCCGGGATGGCCTGCTTAGCAAGACAGCCCGGTAAGCGGGATGAATTTCTCTTGTGTTTATATGAGAAACTTTCATCCCGCTTGCCAGGACAATTTTGTTACATTGTATTGTTTTGACAGTTGTTAAAAATAGCTTGCGGCGGTATCTTTGAACTTTCATCTTGGCAACCAGGATAGCCTGCTTGTAAATGTTTATATGGAGAAATTTCCATCCCGGTAAGCGAGATCTAGCCTCTTTCAAACGAGATCTCAGCAACCCGGGCCAGCCTGCTTGTCCATATAAACGCATGATAATTTTTACTATAAAAATAACTACACAGCGAGATCTTGCTTACCAGGCTGTCTTGCTTATCAGACCAGCCCGGCTTCCATATAAACAGGCCCTAAGTCTGAAAACAATGATGAGGACTTTGATGAAGAGAGCTGTACCATTGATGATGATGATGTGAATTCCAACACAGAACCGAGGGAAATTCTAAAGTAAATGAGTTACAAATTCTATACAATGCTGTATTGATTCTTCACCAAAAGGTGCAAGAAATACTAAAACTGAATCTTCCTTGGCCACCATTGGCATCTGATTTGACAATGGATAATATTTCAAATCCGACTATGAGGACTGGACTAGATTTCAAGTCCACGCAATTTGATCACGTCCGAGGCGAAGCAGAGGACTGGATCAAAATGTGAGGACTTGAAATCTAGTCCAGTCCGAATTGGAGGATTTGAAATGACATCTCATACGAATAAATCACTACTTAATTAATTTTAATCCAGTCCTAGGACACTACAGGATCAATATACTTCATAACACTACAGGATCAATATACTTCATAAAGTATCTAGTATTATCATGTGAGCAAAATAAAGCAATATGGTTGGCTAATTTGCTCATGAATTATTAATGATTTGAGGTGAACAATGATGGTAATGCATGTAGGTATTATCAGTGGAGTAGATCAGTATTTATTTACTTATTCGATATTCTTATTAGGATCCACAGTATTTATATTATCAACACATATATCCCTCTCATGGACAGGGTTAACAGTATGGTCATGTCTGAGAAGCTAAAACGCACCCTGGTGGAGAAGCTGAAACTCACAGCAGCAAATCTATAAGAAAAAGTCAACTAGTGTGGACATGAAAAACCAGGCTGAATCGTTCCTTGTTATTCTAGATAGTGGCTAAATACCAACTTATGTCACAATATAAATAATAATACATGAAATAGTTTAAATATGAGAAGTAGAACTTTACCAGACAAAAGCCAGGACAGCTTATTGCAGAACACATGCAATCTCGTTTTGAGCGTGCAAGCCCTTGGCCAGGATCCAATAAGCGGGATTTTATTGCTCTGATGAAAATCTGGGTTCAAAGATGAAAACAGTTCTTTCAATTATAGATAGCTATAATGAAATTATGGATTTTATATTTCCTCGTAATTTTTTTTTTTATGAATTTTGAGTTTATATAAATATCCCTTAAAACCCGGGATGTTCTGGGAAACACTGTTATCATATTATTTGTCTTTCCAATCTTTCGGTATGTCATATTGTCTTATCAGCGTCGGCAAACGGATAAAGAGTGTTTCATAAATATTTCATTTTAATTGTTCCTTGATCGTGTGAATTGTATGCATATATATTTTTTATTCTCCGTCCTGTTTGATACAGGTGGGTTTTTTTACCTCACACAAATTTGTATTGAATTAGGATGTTAATTTAAAGTAGAATTAAACATTAAAACGGTATTTTGAAACAATAGCCAATGAATTGAAGTGATTTAGCATATGAGCAAGCAAAATATATAATGTGTTTTTAACAATATTTAATTATTATTATTATTATTATTATAATTCATTTATATAGCGCCATTTCCCATAGCTCAATAGCGCTTAACATCAAGTGTTAAAAATATATACTAAGTGTTAGAACATAGTGCATGCATTAACTACTAAAATTACTATACTATAAAATTACTAAAAAATAATTATATGCTCTTCTCGTTAAGAATATAAAATTACTTTATGTTATGTATGTTGATAATATTAAAACAACAACTATATAGAATACTATAAAATTGCTAATAATCTTGTTAAAATAATAACTTAGTCATAATACTGTTTAAAAAGATGTGTCTTTAATCTGGTTTTAAAAATAGGCAAGGTCTCACTCTTTCTAATATACTCTGGCAGTTCGTTCCACAGTTTCGGTGCAGCATATGAGAACGATCGTTCACCATAGTTCACTAGTTTTACTGAAGGTATGGTAAGCAATCCTTTGGATGAGGAGCGTAAATTTGCTGATGGTGTGTAAGGTTTTAGCATATTATTAATGTAATGTGGAGCTGAGCCATTCAGAGATTTATAAGTGATAAGAACAATTTTATAGATGATGCGTTGACTGATGGGGAGCCAATGTAATTGTTTCATTAATGGAGTAACATGGTCGTATTTTCTGCTTCCTGTCACCAGACGAGCAGCACAGTTTTGCACATTCTGTAATCGATCTATAAGAAATTTAGGTAGTCCGTATAGCAAAGAGTTGCAATTATCTAGTTTCGATGTAATAAAGGCATGAACTAGGGTTTGGATATCTGATTTTGATAAGTACTCTTTTATTCTTGCTATTTTTCTCAAATGGAAAAACAGTTCTTGCAAATGTTGGTAATATGTTTATCCATGGACATGTGTTGATCGAAGGTTACACCGATGTTTCGTGCTGAAGTACTTGGTTGAACTATTGACTTAGATATTTCTATATGGTGTACAGCAGGGCATAAACGATTTCGTGCATTGATTACTAGTAACTCAGTCTTGTCCCCATTCAATTTTAATTTATTTTTGACCATCCACAAATCAATCTCCTTTACACACATTTCGATTTGTTTGAGGGTTGTTTGAAGGTTTGATCAGTATTCTGTGATTTTATTTTGTTGTTTTTGCAGAGGAAATCGGGGAAACCCCCAGTGAGAATCTATTTTTATAGATTGCGCAACTCAAATGCGCAACTCAGTCAAACTCGCACTGCGCACGCGTATTTGCTACCAAAATAATGGCGGTTCGAATATTTCGAAGCGCGAAAATATCAAACTTTGGAGGGATTTTTCTCCCAATTGTGCACCTGTTTCACTTGGGGAGCAACGGATTCTGATAAAGTAAGTTTTTATCTATTTATTCATGTGAAAATTACGTAGTTCCACGAGGGGTGCAACAGATTTGCATCTTTTGGATGCTCATCCCACAGCCTAATGGGAATGATATGATAGTCCACACTTGGTTGTCCCATATTATTCCCATATATGGGAATTATATGGTAGTCCACACTTGGTTGTGCCATATACTTCCCATATCTATGGGAATTATATGGTAGTCTGAACTTGGTGTGGTTCTGGCCTCCCATAGAGAATCCATACATATGATTTCTACGGCAATGCTGTGCCAACGCTTACGAAAATTTCTATAGGAATTCCTATAAGAAATGAAATTCCTATAGGATTTGAAAATTCCTATAGGATTTGAAAATTCTTATAAGAATTCATATAAGATTTGAAAATGGTGAAAAAATTCCTATATACATAAAGGAAATAAAAATTCCTATAGGAATTCCTATAGGATTGGAAAATAAATTTATTCTAACATTAATTAAATGAATAATTACCGCAATGTGCGCGACCAACAGACTGGTGTCTAGTTTTTTGCCACGCGCACAAAGCATCTTGGGATAGGTCATCACACCTCTGATATTTTATAAATTTTTTGTTTGTGAATGCTTTATATGTTCAAAACAGAACTATTTTTGATGAGATTCAATTGGATTTTCACTAGTAATACATCAGCGATGTTTGTATAATGTTCAGGTGAGCATATGTTTATATTTTGTTTATAATAAAGCAAATTATAAAGGAATACCTAGTCCAATCTTCATTCGTGAAATTCGAGCATGTGTTTCGATTGGTTTAAAATTTGAATTTGCCGCGACAATAATGGATTAGAACGCTGATATAAATATATTTATCTGTCATTTATACTTCAAAAAATGCTACTATAAGAGTTTTATATTTGAATTAGACTTATCAATGTTTATTGGTTAATATATTGTATATGCTAACTGTATATGCAAGATTAATTGCAGACATTAAGCGTGCCTATACATATAGACTATATAGTACTATATGCTCATATTACATATAGTTTGAAAATTTATCTACTTGCTCAAATCAGCAGCAACCTTCCTAAGATTCTGATATTTATTCATATGTTATTGTTCAAATTAAAATTGATATTTCATTGGGAGAGGTGTAATTGCACCAGTCAATATGAATTAAAATATGTTAGCCTTAGTGTAATGCCAGGAAAATTCTCCATATTTTTTTATGAAATTAACATTTAACTATGTGATGGTATATTCAAGTTAACGAGACTCTCGACTTACATTTCACGCTAACTCGTTAGGATGAATATGCTCAACTTTTGGTACTTTTTTATTTTACCTTGTCTAACACCAGATCAAATATTTTACATGTGAAAGAGAGTGGACAACTTTGATAGGTTATCTTGCTGTCCCCCTGTGTTATGTGTAAACTCATTAAGACCCAATTCACACTAATCTGCTCTATTTCAAAGCTCAATATTTTGGCCTGTCTAACACCAGACTATTTTGCATTGTTTGTTGTTAACACATTTAGATGCAATTCATCCTAACACTCCCCACTTTCAGTACTTTGATAGTTAATTATCAGATGATTTTACTCATCAAGATCAGTGTTGGTTATTGAAAGGTTAATAATTAACTGCAAAAGCTGCTGTGTTGGCATATTTAGAAGCAATGTGCCCTACTTTTAGTACTTTGTTATTTTATTAAATATTTATTCCATTAATGTGCCAGACTCTCCACTTAACAAATAAAATTGTCTGTCATTAGACATATAGTAAAACATAATGATTTGGCATTTGACAGAGTAAAGTTGTCTTCCGTTAGACAGAGTAAAATAATAAATTTGGTGCAAAAATGCTTGTTGGAAATTTGGCTGCAGAATATAGGGTATAAATTTTCTGTCATTATAATAATTTTTGTCAAATCTGGCAAAATCTTGACGTTTGAATTATTTCGTCCTGCAGATGATAGAAGTTGTAGAAGGATCGTGTTTTATCACATATAAAACACTCTGCTACGCGTCGTGTTTTATATGTGATAAAACACTCCTACTCATTTATTAAACAGTACTTAATATTTATACTGTACAACTATAGTTTTATAAATATTTACTGAACTGATTATTTTAAAACATAAAATTATAGCCTATAGTATTAGGTCATAAATCCTCACAACCCCTATAATCCTTCTGAGAATTTTAAAATGGAGGTGTGTTGATTTAATCAGACTGTAGTGAGTGTAAATGTCTGAATAACTGCATTGACCTGGATTTCATTTTCTATTTATAATTTTTTTAGACGTGTGTTTACCTGGAATGACAACAAGGATCTCTTGCTGCTTAAGGAAATAGCTGCTGAGGGTGTCCTGCAGCATAAATCAAAGTCGAGGGAGAGGGGAGCATGTTGGCTTGTGGCAAATAATTTAGGGAACAACTTCCCAAATGTTGAGGTCACATCACGTGCTGTGCGAGACAGATACAGAATGTTTGAGAGGAGGCATAAGAGTAAAATGGCAGAAGAAGAGAGAGCAACTGGGATAAGTGGGGAGGAATTAACAGAAGGAGATGCATTATTGGAGGAGCTGACTGAGATGAATGAGGAGACAGAATGAAGAGTAGAAGAAAATAACATCCAGAAGAAAGCAACTGTGGAAAAGGAAAGAGGTCTGGCATTGGAGATGAGGCAAAGAGCGATGGAACGGATTGGTGAAACAAGAAAGCAACAACTGCATGGAAATGATGATAATGAGAAAAAGAGGAGAAAGTCAGGAGAGACATTTGAATGGTTACGGGAAAAGGCAGAATTCGACAAAACAATGAAAGCAGAGGAATTAAAAGAAAGAAGAGAGGAGCGGGTCAGTCAAGAGAGAATGATGTTTGTGCAACAAATGCAGTTGATGCAAGAAAACAATAATACACAGGTCAGCCAAATCATGCAACAACAAGATTACCAACAACAGCAACAGCAACAACAATTTTCAATGATGCAACAACAGATGCTGGCCATCATCCAACAACAACAACAAACACAAGTACTTGTAACTCTCTTTAAAAATAACCAATCCAATAATTAGAACAATTTAATGCATTTTAATGACATTTAGGGACTGTTGACATGAGCGTCTTTAGCCTGGCTGGCCTGGTTAATAACAGAGCCTGGTTGTTTGTCGGGGATCTTGCTTGAGACAATCTGGTTGCCCAGCTGATATTTTTCATGTATAGTCACCAGCCCCTGCTACCAGGCTAGCAAAAAACCTCTTTGCATGCAACATTATTTGAATTAGTATTTTTGGATAACTAGTTGTTTGAACTTAATTTAAGGTGTTCATGCTGATTAAGTGGTGTTAAATTGAAAATGTGAACAGGTTTTTTTGCACCATATATGCTTGATTCAGTCTCAGCCTGGTTAACAGTGCCAGCCCAACTAGCCAGGTTCATGTAAACAGCTCCTTGACATTTAAAGTTGTCCAATATTTATTTAAAAATGTTATTTATCTAAAAAGTTGAATTCTGTTATTTATTTAAAAAGTTGAATTGAAAAGTATATACTGTAAATCTTCTCAATTTTAAACATATGACTTGGTATTAGCTTGGTATGCTTGGTATGCTTGGTAAAGCTTGGTATGTTTATAATTCATATAATTAAGTGGCAATGCGCCCTACTTTATTCTTTTATTCTGTATAATGCCAGACAATTTTACTTGTCAGGGTGAGTCCTGCTGCCACTCAATGACATAAATGGGTTATTGTGTAATATATGTTTCAACCAAATCATATATAGACCTTAGGGCCTTTGTAGAGGATTTACAGTATTCACAGTATTGCAATTTCCAAGTACTGTTTATAATTGTGTTGAATTAATGTAAAATAATATAATGCAATATAGTTGTAATATTAATATTATTAATTATTGATTGTATATAATTGTGTTGAATGAATTGGAATTTTGAATAAAATACATGTTTTTAAACAATATTTGAGCTATGTATTATCAAAAGGTGATGTAAAATACTCATAGCTTGGAACAAGATGCAATTTGGTGTATTTATGCAATAATTAGTCAAAAATCTAAAAGTTATATTAATAGAAATGTCATCACTCACCAAAAATATTGATGCAAAGAAGGTGGTGGAAGTCCAAAATAAGTTGAAACAATGGTAACATAAAGGCAGGTATGAGCATTCTCAAGCAAAGCACAAATAACATATGTTTTCCCAATAGCACTTAAATTAATTTTCATTTGCCTTTTAAAGTCAACAAAACTAAAATATTTGGTGATGTTTCCAAACATCTACTCTACAGCCACTCTGAGATCGCTCATTGATCTGTTATACTCTTGCATTTCTGGAGTTAGTTGTGGTTCCTTGAATGGCCCTTGAAGGTGTACTCCCAAAGGATAAGCTGGGTCACCATAAAGGCATAGTGGCTCATTATTGTAGAAGGCAATGCGTCTTAGGTTGGGCAAAACACCAGACTCGTGCAGCAAGGTGCTATCATGACGTTTCCCTTTATATGGGCCAGAAAGATTACCAAATAATACTATTTGGGAGTACAATGCTCTGGAATTTGATAGCATGTACCCTTTTATGGCCATTGTACATGATTCGCTGGTGGTATTTAGGTCGGGCTATCGGTCTTACAGTCCCATCCACAAACCCAAACCAGTTTTGTAAAGGGGCACCACGTTGATGCACTGCTTGGGCATAGGTGTAAAGCTGGTGAGGAAAGGCTGATCCCAACTCTCCAGGCGATGGTGGTGGGTTTCATGAACAATATCCAGCACTAGGTTGAAAATGAGACATAACTCAGATGGACTTCGCCCAAACCGATGTGCCATGTCTGTGTACCGACAAGGATATGCCAACCTTTTCAGGAGAATGCACAATCCTTCCATGCCAGTACAGACCGTCCCTTGCTGGCAAACAAGTTCCTCTGGAATTCATAAAGATTGCTTAAGTGACGCCAAATCTTTTTTCTTAAACCGTAGCTCAGTTTCACATTCAACGTCGCTCCAAGTGTCCAAGTTGAACTCATAAAATTTCCAGTATGGAAAAAGCGGTTTTGATCGATTGTGGTCGTACAGCAACGCAAATTCCTCCTCGTCTATTAGGTTTTCAGCATAGGCAAAAATTTAAAGCATCAGGGACAGCTTGAAGGCCACCAACCGCCATGATTTTGGCAATATTGTAAAGCTATATTGTAAAAAATATCACGACATAATGACGATAGCACAAGAAATGTAACGACACAAATTTATTTTGTTTTAAAACTTAATACATGTACATATACATAAACAGATTTAAAAACATTATTACGAAAAAAATATACAAAGTTTCAACAAGTAACTTATCGATCTCCATATTGTTCTTGAAATGTAAACACTCGCTATGGCTCAGAACTATTCATATTTTCCTCGGAAAACTTTAGTTGGTTGCCAGTCCGCTTAAAAATTGTATAACCACTGAAAAATTGGCAAAATGGCAGCACTGAAGTTCGATAGTTTCGATTGTGCAGCTTACAGCGTCGTCTTTACGTCATCTTGCCAAATCTAAATCACTTTACATTCACAACACAACGACATAGCCGACCCAGTTCTCTCGCGCCATCTCACGTCATCTTAGAAGTCGCGTCGTCTTTTCTAAATCTGTCTAATGGGGATATTACAAACCCTATAACCATTGCAAATCAATTTTGTGATTATTTTACCAATATTGGCCCGAAATTAGCTAACAGCATTCTGGCCTCATCCCGCACCCCCACCTCTTTCATGAACGGTAACATCATAAATTCGTTCTTCCAAACTTCTGAAGAAACTGAAATTGTTGAAATTCTAAAATCTCTTCACTCGGAAACTGCTGCGGGCCACGGTAAAATACCTATGTGGTCCATAAAAGAGTCCATAGAATTTATTGCAAAACCGCTGACTCATATAATTAATTTATCTATAGAGTCGGGTGTTGTCCCAGACCAAATGAAGATTGCCCGTGTTATACCAATATTTAAGTCAGGCACAGATAGCCTATTCCAAAACTACCTGTTTCGGTTTTACCAATGTTTTCAAAATTATTGGAGAGGGTTGTGTATAATCAGCTAATCAAGTATATCGATAAGCATGGCATTTTATTTGATAAGCAATATGGTTTTAAGAAAACTAAATCTACTTCATTAGCTTTACTTGATTTAATAGACAAGATAACATCAGCAATTGATAAAGAAGAATATGCAGTTGGGATTTTTTTAGACCTCTCAAAGGCATTTGATACTATAAATCATGAAATTCTCTTCGAAAAACTCAATCATTATGGAATTCGTGGCCTGGCACTTAATTGGCTAAGAAATTATTTTTCAAACAGACAACAATATGTTGAATGCAATGGGGTAACATCCTCGTTTAATACTATAAGATGTGGAGTACCTCAAGGGTCTGTGCTTGGGCCATTACTATTTCTGATATATATTAATGATATTTGCAATGTCTCAGATGCCTTGGAATTGGTCTTATTTGCTGACGATACCAATCTATTTTTTTCTCATCATGATCTATCTAACTTGACCAACATCGTCAATATAGAGTTACTTAAGTTATCTGATTGGTTTAAAGCCTGTCTTTAAATTTAAAGAAGTCAAATTATATTATTTTTAGACCACGGCAAAAGAGACAAATTACTAGTTTGCCGCTGTATATAAATGATCATGAACTACATCGCACAGATCATGTAGTTTTTCTTGGAGTGATCCTGGATGAACACTTGTCTTGGCCACTACACATTTCGCATATTGCTAGTAAAATTTCTCGATCGGTTGGTATCATATATCGAGCAAGTTTTTGCCTCACCAATGTAGCTGTACGCACACTATACTATGTACTTGTTTATCCTTATTTACAATATTGTGTAACAGTGTGGGGTTCAGCATACCCTTATAAATTAAATCGTCTCTTATTGCTCCAAAGAAGGGTAATTAGAATAATCAATAAGGTAGAATTTGATGCCCACACTGATCCATTATTTAAAGATAATCAAATATTTAAGCTCAAAGATATTTATTTTTACAATCTAGGGAAATTCATGTTTCTATACATAAATAATAGGCTTCCTAGAAACTTTGACAACCTGGTGTTACGAGTAAAACAAGTGCATGGTTATGGCTTGCGGAGAGCTAAATTCTTATATGTACCATTGTGTAGAACTAAGTTACGTCAATTCTCTGTGTCCTATCAAGGTTCAAGTTTTTTTTAATACATTGAGTAACGATATCCGTAATGCACCAACTCTTCAAAAATTCCAATTCAAATTAAGAAACTTCTTGTTCTCTCGATTATAACATGTTTTTAATACTTGGGTTTTAATACTCTAAAACCCAGATATGCCAAATTTAGTTAAGTCAAGTCTATCTGACTACTATAGCACAGCTGTGAATTAACTATTGTAATCTTTTATAAATGAGGAAGCCCATAACTCCATAAGCCTTATGGTTTCTACTTGGGCTTCTTCGTCACATGCATCTTTCATTATGTTTGTTTTGTAAATAATTCCTTTTTTGTGGCAATTTAATAAATTGAATTGAATTGAATAAATTGGATATGCCGCCACAAGTGAAAAATAACAAGCGCAAGTGGGTTTTACTGCATGTCATTAACATCTTGACGAAAAGACCGCTTATTTATCCACCTGTAAATCTCATTATCTAGTCATTTGCTCCGTGACTGGCATACAGAAACAATGTTTGCGATGTCGACCATGTTGAAAATGCTAACTTTAACGATCATATTGATGCTTACTATTGCAAGCATTAATGCACAAAACTGTTCTCCTAAGTATTATGAGACCATCATAAGAGGTGAGTCTATAAATTAAAATATTACCTTTAAAACGCCAATGTCGCTATAAAGTACTAATTACTGTGAAAATATTCTCCTATTTTCTTCAATATTCCATTAACAAGTCGTGATCTATTTCAACTCTTTACTTTTACACAGGAGGTGCACCTTTACCTCCGAACGAGGTTATATCGAGTCACAGTGTTGAAAGCGTAGACAGTCAGATAAAGTGCTACCATCTTTGTCAAAAAGAACCAAAATGTGTTGGATTTAACTACAGAATTACAACACTCAAAGTTGAAAACTGTCAACTGACCAACGTGACGAAAAAAAGAGATACAACAACATCGGGAGATTGGACATTGCTACGCGACATTGAAGCGGTATGTTAGAATTTCTTTCATTTCACTACGCGTTTTAATGATGTGGAAAATATATAATTACATATGTTAGACTCATAAAATGAGATACGCAAAAAAAGCTTTGCAAAACGAGTTTATTAGGAAATATATTGTTTATTTCACATTCGCGTAAAAGATGAACGAAGAAAGATGACAGCGGAACAGGGGGTGGGGGGTGTTGGAGGGAGGCACTCAGTGTTATATAGACCAGCAATGTGTAAAAGTTGGGGGATAATTCTTCCTTACTTTCCCAAAAATAGCTACCGATCAGGCTAATACGGTAATCTGAAGAATGTTCATCCCTAAAGGGTAAAGTGAACAAAAATAGCAACAGCAGTCCCCTACTTAGCAAAAAATTACACCACCATCCCCCCCCCCCCGTCCACACACACCACTGTCCTGAAATTAAACGTGAAAGTAAAATCCTAACTTTCGTGACTAAATGCAAAGCAGTGGTTGCTTTGGAGACAGCTGTTTTATTTTAGGAGCAACAAATTACGCGCTCGTTTGCCAAATAGACAAAACAAATCATTAGAGACACTCACGTTTCGTATAATAGTGTTACAGAATAGCTATTTAGTATGCGACATCATAGTTACAACAATAAGGTTGAATTTAACTTGCTTCGAATAGTGTTTTTATGATGATGTCCATCTTCTTCTACTTCGTTGTTATCTGTCCTGTCATGTTTTGTATAGTTCTTGTCAGTTTAAGCTTCCTCTCTTTTTGCGCACTTTGCATCCACTAATTGGGGTTGAGCGTCTTTAAATAGTGGAATTAATTTTTGTAAAATTTAATTAACTAAATTTAGTTTTATTCATTACGCTAAGTAAAAGTGCTTTTAATATAGATCAATTTGTTTATTCAAAATTGAAAATGTTTGGTTATTCATTTCTCAAGCAATGAAGAAATAACGTAAAAATATCATATTAAATCTTATCATGCTTTACAGTGCACGATTTCCTACAACAATAACTAATAATAATAACAACTTTATTTATAACAGACAGCCTACATCACTACTCAAGTGCTTTTCAGCAGGGCTCTGTATATTACATTCCGTATATTATTATATAAAAAAGTTAAGAGTTCTATTCTATATAGAAAAAAGTAGACTATATTAAAAGTTAAGTTCGTTCTATATTGATTTAAAAAATTTAAAAACAGCACGTTTAAAATTAGATAAACAAGACGAATTTCTAATATTTTGATCTAAAAGGTTCCAGTCCGCAATGAAATCACAGTTTGATCTAAGTAGACCTTTGCAAGTACTGGATTTCATTGGCCGTAAATCGTTTTTATGTCTTGTATTGTAACCATGAACATCTGCATTTCGGATAAATGTATTATCAATATCATTTATCCCATTTATTGACTTATATACATAGAGGCATCTACGTATACTTCGCCTTTGCTTCAAGGTAGACCAGTGTAATATTCTTAGGGCATCACTAGAAGAGGAAAGCATTGGTCAACCAACTTTGCTGCCTTGTTGTGCAATACTTGTGCAACAAAAGACGACTTCCCACAGGTTGTGAACGCTGCGGAGTATATTTGAGTGTCACTGTGTTACTTCTCATGTGCTTCTCTGCGTGCTCAAATGAGCTGTGTATTTCCAATTAAAAGTTCAGGGGCCGATTGTACGAAGGCCGGATAGCGTTATCCACCGGATAGTGATTTTTTTAACCTTTGTAAAAATGCTTGAAAAACTGTGAAATTACAGATATAGACGACAAGAGAAGTATAAAAACATTTAACTTATAAATACTAAACTTTAATACGAGTTATACAAATCAACGATTGATTTAACAAATTAAAGCTTGAAAAAATCACTCTCCAGTGGATAGCGCTATCCGGCCTTCGTACAACCGGCCCCTGGAGAACAAGGGAAAATAATGTTAACCAATCAGCTCGGTTTTTTTTACCACAGGGCAAGCGTTCGTTTCCATTTATCCATGGCGCATCGTGAATATGTCAAATAATTATGTATTTAACTTTACGAACTACATTTCTCTCTTATTGTCTGTGCCAGTGTAGGTAATGCCAATAATATGAACAAGCTTTTGTTAGTAGGGATACAACTACCTGAAAAATATAAAGAGAATTTAGACGTTTCGAGCAAAGGCCCTTCAAAACTCCAGAAGATGAAAATACTCTTCTCGTTTCGAGGCCCTTCGTCTGACGTCACTATAGTAACTCCGTCGCTCGAAACGTCGACATTCTCTTTATATTTTTCAAGTAATTGCATCTCTAACAACGAAAGCTTGTTCATATTTTTTCTTATGCCTACCTCTTACTTCAGTATTTCAGTGTAACGAAGTTACTAGTAACTCCAGAAGAAGGGTTTTCGCTCGAAACGTCGACATTTTCTTTATATTTTTCAAGTAATTGCATCTCTAACAACGAAAGCTTGTTCATATTTTTTCTTATGCCTACCTCTTACTTCAGTATTTATTTATTTATTAACTTTACAATCATGCAAAAAATATAACAATGATTGAAGGTATGGTCAACAGGACATGAGTCCCATGTAAAGACCAACCTGATACAATACAATAAGTAGACATACATTAAAGACAAGGACTAGAACACTATTTACATAGCTATATAAAAATTAATAGTTTAGATTATGAGCAACAGCTTAAGTTGAAAGAACGGCATTTAGAGCAGTAGGTTTTCCAAGTGCGCATTCTGTTAGCATCGAAAGAAGAGTCTAATTGAGAAGAGTAGTGAGAATGGAGCTGGAACTTAAAGGATGAAACAGACGAACTGTTACGAATGATTGGAGAGAGATTGTTCCATAGAAAGACAATTCGGTTAAAAAAAGAGTTTCTAAAAAGAGAGGTTTTGCACGGATTGACTTGAAGTAAGTTGTCCTTGCTTGAACGGGTGCGAGATGAGCGATTAGAAGAAAAGGTGACAAAAGAGGAGATATCTAGGTCGTAGAGGCCTTGTTTGCATTTGAAAAAAAAGATGAGATCCTTTATTTCAAGCCAGTAAGATATAGGCAATAAATTAAGTTTCCTAAGACGCTCAAGATAAGACAACTCATAATCTTGAAGTATAAATTTAGTAGCTCGTCTCTGAACACCCTCCAGGATCGCAAGATCGCGTGACGAGGCTTGAGGTGCCCAGATCTCACTGGCGTAAGACAGGTGAGATCGGACAAGAGAGAGGTAGAGAAGCCGACGGCAGCGAGTATCAGTCATTTGAGAACAATTTCTCCGAAGAAAACCAAGCAAACGGTTGGCTTTAGCAGAAGATTTAATTTAATTTCAGTGTAACGAAGTTACTAGTAACTCCAGAAGAAGGGTTTTCGCTTGAAACGTCGACATTTTCTTTATATTTTTCAAGTAATTGCATCTCTAACAACGAAAGCTTGTTCATATTTTTTCTTATGCCTACCTCTTACTTCAGTATTTCAGTGTAACGAAGTTACTAGTAACTCCAGAAGAAGGGTTTTCGCTCGAAACGTCGACATTTTCTTTATATTTTTCAAGTAATTGCATCTCTAACAACGAAAGCTTGTTCATATTTTTTCTTATGCCTACCTCTTCACTATTTCTTTAACTTATTTTCATATAGGCAAAGAATAAAGACAAAACAGGAAAAAATCACAATAGCAATTCAGGTATTTCCAGATTTCTGAATAACGCCATTAGCAACTTTAAAAGGTATTTCTAAAATATGACAGTAAGACATTTCCTAAAAATATGGAGATAGCGTAGCCAGAAAGCTCGTTTTAAATAAAATTTTAGTCAGAGAATTTTATATTTTTAATTAAGACATTTCCTCTTTAAAAAAGTATATATTAACATAAACACGAGAAGATCCCATTTAAATTGATGGTAAGCATATTCAGAACTGATAAAAATGTTACTTAAGGTTTGAAATAAATTATTTTCATACACAATAATTATGATCTGATATAGGTATGTTTTCACCTGAATATCAATGTATTCTAAGATCTTAGAATTCATTTATATCGAAAGAACTCAACCTCGCAAGCCAGGCTCTCTAATTCCGCTTCCTTCCTAAACACGCTCCAGCAGAGACCTGGTGCACGCTGGTCACGTGACACCCCAAGGGGTGTCTTTAATTAGCGCCCTGTTTGTTACTTAGGGAGGAGTGGCTGAGTAATACTCATCGTTCGCAGTGCACAATAAATGCTTTCTAAACGGAACGCGATGCGACTGCATGTGGAAAAGCCAAAGATACTCCAAAACCAACTAATTAAAGGCAATAAATCAGGCGATTGCCATATGCGAATTGATTCAGTTTCTCGCGGCCGGTTTCGCGGAAGACATTTTGAAGACATCTCTAGACAGTTCAGTATTTCAAGCAGTGGCGTAGCCAGACCTTGATTTTTTTTTTGGGGGGGGACGAAGCGAACGCCGAAGGCGCGACACCATCTAGGGGGTCCTAGGGGGATCCGCGAGTCCGGAAAATTTTGAAATCTAGAGTCTCTGAAATGCGATTTCAAGCATTTTGGGGATGAAATCTTGCATAATTCCGAAGATTAAAAGGACATTGAAGGCATAAATTTCCCCAGACATTTCTAATTTTCTACTCGGAATTAAGTAAATTGGAAAAGTCAGCATGAAAAACAGGAGGAGCCGGTGAGCGTCACCTTATTCCCCTTCTGTGATGCTGGAGGAAGAAAATCCCAATGTGATTTTGACAGCATTTCCACACTCTTAAAATTGCGTTGCTTGTTTATACGATTCACAATAAGTCTGAGAAGAATATTCATGCTATGATAATGCATACATGTAAATCTAAACTAAATCTATTCTTCTTGGAACCATATCTACCACTGCTTTAACGAGATTTTACAAATCAAGTTCCTCCAGTATATCGTCGTTTTCCTCAGTCCAGACGTATACTTAATCAATTTCAGCTTCGAGGATGTAACGTGTACCCCCCCCCCCCCACCCCCCAAATTCTCTATGGAGTTAGCCTTTTTCGGAGAAAAACAAAATCTCCGAAAAAGGCTAAATCCGTAGAGAATTTGGGGGGGGGGGGGTACACGTTACAGGGGAGGTGCGCGATAGCCAACAGCAAAATATTCGGGAAGACATTCAATATTTCCATTCGAGGCCGCTATCTTTATCAATCATATCACTATAACCACAATGCAAAGCGCCACGAAATCGTAATAAGGGGAATCATCAATTATGTAACTAAAATTTATAGCCTGCTAACAGAATTATCTGAAACAGTTATTAATTCATGTCGATAATTCCAAGCGCAAGGCTTTGGTGTATGACTATCCTATGTTGTTTTGTATTAAATGTTGTGAATCGACTCGCAATTTTATAAACAAGCGTCAGCCAAATCTATTTAATTTCCAACCAATATGTACACTCATACTGATTACTGAACGTATAGTAAAGGCTATTAACTTGAACCATCACTAATGTAAGTATAGTAGGCCATTTACTGCGCGTCCCGGTATCGTTCATTTTCATTTCACATGTCTTGGAACTGAAATATTTATACGGGAACATGCAAACACTTTCGAACACGCTGAGTTCAAATCCGAAAAGTTCCCACTCCGTAGACCTGCTGTTTTCTCACAAACTGCTATTTTACCTTCGCTAATTTCACGACAATTTTTTTCATTGTTCAACGACACGGATTGATGACGACAAACGATTATGTCACTCAAAAAGACCAATTTCTATTAATTAACCAGTCTTCCTTTTAACAAAAGACCGTTTTGCTCGAATCGTTTTGAGTTATGTAATCTTATGCGTGTTGGACGTAAACAACATATCTTGTCTACAATTTTTAATTTTGAGAAAGTACAGTGACGTTTTCTAAAGAGATATCTCTGCAAAATCAGAAGGACGTTAATGCTCAGTCTTTTGGCTACGTCACTGGCTTGAAAAATAACTCTTTTAAACGCGATAGAGGTATTTAAAACAAAAGTAACGCGAAGACAACGTAACGGCAAAAACAACGCTAAAATGAAATATTGTCGATGGGTTGCTTGAATAAGAAGACCTACGACAGGATCAATCTAAAAAAATCTTAAGGAGGCTCCCTACACTTTCCAATATATATCAGTGTTTTAAACTAAAAGCTATTTAAATCCAAAAAAACTAATTTTCTGCACAAGCGGCATCAGTAATTCTAACCCACATAACTCTAACCCTAGTAATTCATAACCCATAAAAAAGTAATTCTAACCCACAATCAACATGTCGTCACCATCTATATATGGCCTATATCTACCATTGAACTATAAGTAAACTGGAAGGCTAACTGCTATCTCTGCTATGATGAAGGCTTATGATTTTCTGAAGCCTTTTGTTTATCAACAAATAATAATTGTCCAAAAATACGCATCTAAATCGTGAATTTTCCATTTTTTCAAAAACTGTATTGAGCCACCTTAAAGGCTGAAATGCAGTTTCTCGAAAACTACATTGGCAATTTTCAAATAACTTTCAAAAAAGATTCAAAACTTCATAACAATGTATTTTTTGCAATAATAAAAGGTAGGTCACCGTGGTTATTTGTCCGCTAAGACGGGTTTTTAGGTTGATATAGGTAATATAGATGGTGACGTCATGTTGTCATGGTAAAATGAAGAGCAACGATTGTGGGTTGAAATTACTCTTTCATATATTTGGAAACAATGGCTTGTGCAAAAAATTAGTTTGTTTTAGATTCAAATAGCTTTTAGTTTAAAACACTGACATGTATGTTGGGAACTGTAGGGAGCCTCCTTAAACTAGAGAAATAAATGTGCGCATCAAAGACAAAGATCAGTGCCAAAATATGAAATCTGCTCTGTAAACGAACAACGAAGTGGAGAAATGTGTGCATGAGCTGTTTATTTAGTGATTTCAACGTATATGGAAGCCCCCTTTCCAACAATATTCCGTAATCGCGCAGAATAACACCAAATGATATAATAGTTCAAATGCATGAATAGTCACCTCTTGAATTACGTCTCAGAAACTGTGTTGGAAATTTAAATGCTGACCCATTACATAAGAATACCGTTTTACATCGTTGTATAAAACATTTTGATCGCATGTAAGGAATTATTTCTCAGTCCAGAAACATAGCTCAAAGACTTTACATTAACATCCTTGTGATTTTATGGAGATAAAGCCAGAACTGAGGATTTTAGGAGGCCGGCTATTCTGCGAGTCTGCGAATCTGCTAGTCATGCGAGTCGTGCGAGTCATGCGAGTCGTGCGAGCTTTGCAAGTCTTGTGAATTTTGATCAAATCAAAGATCAAATTCTGGTGGTCATCATGGATCTTCGTAAAAGTTGAGTAAATTATTTTGTAAACGCAACGTAATTGAATTTATTGCGAAGGTGTGTATTTCAAACCATTAATTATATAAAATTATTTAAAGATGCTGTAAAGTCCGTTCTGCGCAAAACAAAGGGGAACTCTCAGATATAGACATATTGCCCAAATTTTGCATCTTTCGAACTTTTTTGAATTGAAACGTCTAGTTTGTATTCATTTACAAGCATAGCGACCCATGTCAGATATTCAGTTAGTATATCATATTTTACAAATATACCAGTTCAAAATGTAAACAAAGCAATTTTTACATTTAGACTTTACAGCATCTTTAAAGTGTGTGTTGTGCATTGCGAAAATTAGCAGAGATTAGTCAAAGTGTAAATGAGGCAAATCCTCTGACAATTTTCTTTCTGCGGCACACTCTTGTGCACCCGCGCTGCGTTCAAAAACACGTCCTAAAAACTGAAACTACCGTGAACTACCGAAATGAGTTATTAGGTAGCTTTAGGCTTCATTTCCATAAACTGTGAAAATATTTTGTTCAATTTTATAGCACAAGAAAAACCGCCGATATAGCTTTATATTTAGTTACAAGAAAATACATGCATGCAGAAACCATCGTTGCAGAAACCGACGTTGATATTGGCTTTGTACAGTCTCCTTAGTATCATCCAATACAGTCCGACAAAACTTGGCAATGTGACCTTCTTTGCCACAACGATAGCAAACTAGAGACTTTATTTGGGATACGCTCACCTTGACTGGTTTGCACATCACCTTGTCCTGATTTGGAAATAAAAGAGTTACGAGCTATATGTCCAGGCTTTTGATTGAGATAACCAGGGGCGGACTAGCCGGTCGGGCTCACCGGGCGAATGCCCGGTGGGCCTCTTGCTTGTAAGGCCGTTTTGGGCCCCTTCAATGTCATTTAAATATAAGGCTAGAAGATCCAAATCATAAGCATGAAAAGCAGGAAGCACGCTTCAACCACTTTTCTCGCCCGACTAAGGGCCCCTGCGATCTTTTCTCCCTAGTATTTCTCGGTTTTATATATACCCGAAAAGATACTAAGGAATGGCCTTGGGGGGCGCCAAAACGCAAAACGGGATAAGTGGGCGTTTTCAGCTGCAGAGAAACGTGATTAACTCGAAGATATTCTCGGGTCAGTGAGCAAATTTGCAATTTATAAAGCAATATGAAGTTAGTTATATACTGAAAAAATTGATGTGGCGACACTGCATGTTAGTATCTTGCAGGGTCCGCGCAATCCTCTGCCTAAAATTTAGCTTTGAAATCTTGACAACTGGGCAACTTTTCAATTACAACACCACTTTCCGAACAAACGTGAAGCTTAAATCTTCTTCAAACATTGAGATTGTTTCAATCTGCTATTGGAAAACTGAAATTATCAGCAGAGATTTTCCAACTGACCTGAATATTGTTACATGCAGTTCGCAAAGAAAGCCAAGAGTAAACGGGTTTGCTTTGATACCGATGTTCCAGTAGAAGAAAG